AACCTAAATAAACAGAATCACGTGCACTTATTTGCAATTTGGCGAGAAAAATGTTTACGTTTTATTTTTAAAACCAGTGACCTAGGCGTGGTCGCTGAATTCTTTATATCGCTCAGTTCTATTTCCGATTACACTTTCGCCGCTATTGGTCAGACAAAATGGCGTGTTGGCTTCACAAGAGGTAAATAAAGGAGAAATGAGAACACGACTGTCACGTCATAAATGTTTTATAGAAAAAATTGTCCCATTACGAAATAATAGAGCACTATGATTAAAGTAAACAAGCAAGTTCAAAACGGAAATACACAAAACATTCAAATAAAAAAAGCTTACCCTAAGAGGTATTATATAATTGATAGGATTTAGTATAAAACAGATTCGGATGCTTCAAGATCTGGCTTGTCGTCATATTTATTAAGATCACATTGTAATATATAAATATATACTGGAAAATACTTTACTCGTTTTTACATTAATTGTATGTTTTGGATTATCTTTAACTAGTACTTAAAGCTGCATAATATGCTCCACAATAAATATAATGACACTTCAGGTTTACATACATATTTTTTCCTATCATAATTATCTTCGATCAACAATACCAACTTATGTACGATGTTCAAACCTATGTTTACTGTTCTTTTAATTGTTTACGTTTTACCCACATCTATAGTTAATATTCTGTATGCTTGTAATGGATTCCTTTATTATTGTTTGTAAATTTTTAATTTCGCATAAGCGATTTGTAATCTTTTGAGAAATAAATAATATCTTAAACCTAAAAAACCTAATACAAATACACAAAAAAAAAATCGGTTGAGCCAATTTTGAGTTTTACAAGACGAACAGGGGCAGCAATTGATTTTTGTATAAAAGATAACATTTGAATAAATCTGTATAGGTTTACACTCATGAAATATTCCATGTAAAACACAGTAATTATATGTATACTTTTTGGTACCATGCCAAAAACTAGGGCACTGCGCAATGGAATATCATATGTATAAGTCAATTTGAGTTTTTCAGAAGTTATAGCATAAAAATAAAAATTCACACAAAAAATAACATTCTTAAAACGAAGGTAGTTTTTCGTTTAAGACATGAATCATAATATTTTAAGTAAGCAATTCTTATATAATATTTTAAATTTGTAACTGGTTTCCTGGAAACAGCTAATGATTTGGATGAAACTTTGTTATTTTATAATGTTTTACTTTTAAAGTTTATCTAGCTAAGATTAATTCCTGAAAAAATCATAATTTATATAACAGAGCAAAGCAATCGCCTTCATCATCATCATCATCATCATCATTACAACCCTTTACAAGTCCACTGCTGAACATAGGCCTCCCCCAAGGTATGCCACAAAGCACGGTCCCGAGCCACCTGCATCCATCGACTTCCTGAATATCTTACCAAGTCGTCACTCCATCTAGTGGGGGGTCGCCCTACACTTCGCCTACCAGTATGAGGCTGCAACTCGAGAACCTTTTTTCCCCAACGGGTGTCGGTTGTTCGAGCTATATGGCCGGCCCATTGCCTCTTCAGCTTACTAATCTGTTGGGCTATGCCGGTCACTCTGGTTCTACTGTGGATATCCTCATTTCTAAGTTTATCATGCAGAGAAACTCCGAGCATAGCCCTCTCCATAGCTCGCTGAGCGACTTTGAGCGTCCTCATACGGCCAGCAGTGAAGGACCACGTCTCAGTTCCATAGGTCATCACTGGCAACACGCACTGGTGATACAATTTAATTTTCAGGTTTTGAGGTATATCTGACGAGATGTGTCGTAATTTCCCGAACGCTGCCCAGTCGAGTTGAATCGGTCGATTGATCTCTCGGTCGAAGTTGAAATTACCTAGTTGGACTATTTGTCCTAGGTATATGTACTCGTCAACAACTTCGAGCTTAGTGCTCCCAACAACTACAGGCATAGGTTTGACAGGGACATTAAACATGATCTTTGTTTTTTCCATGTTCATCATAAGACTATATTGTCGGCAAATCGAAGGTGAGTGATGGCGATTAATGGTGAGTACAATGGCGAGCAATTGCCTGAATAATAACCGGAGAAAAGTATCATAATATTATTACATTACAATATTATCCACTTTATTATATTAAGTATACTAACTATTATTTACTTAAGTAGAATATCAAACAAATAGTATATGTAATGAGCTAATGAACTATAAATTAGTATGTTATGTAGAAGTTATAAAATATCATAATATTCATCAAGTTTTTAGCTTTTGTGATAACTGTAACATAAGTTTACTTAAAGATTGAAAGTGCATTACCCTGTTATTTACATTACGCCACTTCCTGCTGACGAATGGGAATAAAAACTTAGATATGAATTAAACAAGTGGTAAAATTAAAAAATTTGTGAAACAAATTTCAATATAAATAAAATGAGAACATCATCAATGTAGTTGAAGTCATTTAAATACGCTTTATTAAGGATAATTCACAAACTACTGGTCAAATCTTGATCAAATTTATATTCGACCCCATGAGAACCACCCAGATTTCAAATAAAAAAATCATCAAACTCGGTTCACATAGATAAAAGGTTCTGACGTAACACACAAACAAAAAATATAATCGAATTGAATACCTCCTCCTTTTTGAAGTCGGTTAAAAGGATATTAGATGATATTTATTGAAATGAAACAAAACAAACTTAATGTCTCCACCACATATAGCATTATTTGTACTACACCCACAACTACAGTCATCAGTGCACATATCATGAAACAAAATGAGCCAGTCATTTTCCTTCTTCTTTATCAGCCTACAATAGTAGTCAATTGCCTGTACACTGGACATGGGCTCTATTTTTGGGAGTAGTTGTCGTAATGGCTATGCTTGTATAGGAAAGATATTGTAGAAGACCAAGAAAATGATAAATGTTAACATAAAAGATATGCAAGATATAAGATTGACAGTAGAACATGTCCAAGATTAGATAGTGATAAACACTAAGAAGTATGTTGTCTCTGACTATACTTAATATATGTACTGACTATATATACTGAAACATGGTGGTGAAGGGCTGTAAAAGTTATGAATACAAATAGAATATGTAATATAGAATTTTCATTTTTTTTCTATTAAAGCCACAAAGTTAAAAGATACAGTAACAGAAATTTTTTCATGGCATACATACTCATTCTAAACACTTAACATTCAAGGTCAAAGAATTGACTTGCTCAATTGAAACAAATGTGAAGCAATATTCAACTATGAAAGAGTTCTATCAATTTAAGATACTAATATCTTTAGGTAACTTATACAATAACACAATAAGTAATATTTTCACATGTCAGTTTATTTTTATTGTTCATTAAAAAAAAAAACAAAGTGTAAAAGATTTGTTTTCCTTTGCTGATCTGGTTATATAATGTCTGGCTTAAATAAAATATACTACCACCTTACAGAAGGCTTTTTGATATTTCTCATGTATGTTTATTACAACTATTTTTTTTATAGAATAGGGTGAAAAGAAATCAAAATGCAGATGTATTGTCACCCATGAGGATTACGATGGAATGCCTCATATTAGTAGAGGGGCTCTAGTTCTCCACACTCATTATACAAAACACAGTAGCATTACGGTGCCATTTTACGCTGGTATTCTGTGAGTGTGCTCCTTCCGCGGTTGAGGCGACCCATTCATGCTACTACCTTAATATACCTGCACCGTGACTCTACCATGTAAAAAATTACTAAAAACTCCCACAGGACGAAATGGTGTGATGGATTGTCTTATGCTAACACCACAGACAATTGCTTATTACATGTAACAACTTATTAAGACTACTAATATTATGAGACTAATTAAAAGTGCCTAGGTCTACTAATCCCCGGCAGTGACCCAGTAAAAGTTTTGGCACTGAAGAATAAGGTCAGGTTTGGAAGGTTTTTGGATTAACTACCTCTTAATATTGAAATGGGAGGGCAGAGTAGAAGGGAATCCCTTTTGCCACACTCCCCTGTCCTTGGAAATACATATTGTAATTGAGTGGCAATTCGAATAAGTAAGATAGGTAATACATTTTTTTCCATTATCTATCATCAGAAAATTAGATGGACGATGGGTCCCCAACATTTTGTGGTTGATAATTCACTCATTTAAACTAGTTTCTTGTATATGCATACAATGAAGAAGTTGAATAATTTGCTGCCATCTGTCTTTCAGTCTAATTACAATTTGTGCATCTTCAAAGCAAGAGTGAATGGGATTTTGTTACAGTAAAACAGTGTGATTTATCTTCAAGGGTGTCATCACCACCTACTACCAGGTGACATTGTAATCATGCACTGGCAAAAAAATTAAATATTTCATATATTTATGTAATACTTTTATAGTGCATCTTTGCTCCATAAAGCTTATCCATATAACTATGTGGTAGTTTGACTATTGTGGGTAGTTATGAAAATATAATATATAAGTCATGAACGTACTAAGAACTTACTTACTTTACTTTAACTTACTTTTTACTTGTTCTTAGTACGTTCATGATATAAGTAAAGGGAAACTGCAGATAATGTAAGATTCTAAACAAATGCCAACAGCATTGTAATGGCATATCTTAAATAAAGTGGAAAGATGGACAATGCACAAACCGGTTTCTAGCTTTTAAGTTAAATTACGTAAAGAATTCGATTACTCAATTAATACATGTTATTTTAACTGTAACATTAATTTGTGTAAATAAATATTTTATGTGACATTTGATATAATATTGTTTTGTATTCATTCGTACATTAGTCATAATTATTTCAGTGTTTGAAATTGATTCAAATCAAAGACAATGAACATAATTTATTTTAACAAAGCGAAGGTAATCCACCAATGGCGATGTGATGACGTAGGGCAAGAGAAATTAGATAGTTCCCTTCTAGAATTGAAGTATATACATACCTTTTTAGTATTAATAAATTGATTTAAGTATTGAAGAAAATTGCATTTATGGAAAAAAATGTTACTTACTAGTAATTCTCTCCTTTAGCAGAGTTAGGCTCGTATCTCATAAGGTCGAAGTAATTACTACTACTAAAGTTTAACTGTTGTATCAACTTCGTCATATTGGCGAATCGTATTTAAGCCTTGTTTATACTTTGAAAAGAAAATCACGGTTTAGGCCGTAAGTTGCAGCAGACAAATTGCGCAGCACAAGCAGACGTTTCACAACACGATGACGAATTGATAAATTAGCACAATTCTTGTCTATTACTTTGCTCGAAGTTATCGCTTTATTGTGTCGATTTAAGAAGTAGCGTACTTTAAACTAACAATGCATAAGCTTATTGAACATCTAAATTTGGTCGCTTAATACAATTTTTACATGATGGCCGCCGGAAGTATGACGTTTTTATCGTTCAACTTTTACGTTTCATTATACGTAATAATGTTAATATTTAGCAAAAGAGTTGGTAACTTATATTATTTTTTCTTAACCATATGAAATTTAAACAACATAAACATTTTTATACATTCGTATAGTTTACCTTGCAAGTAGAGTACGTCTACAAGTCTACTATAGCATTAATCCTTTGTCATAATTAAATTAATTAATTTATAAAAAAGAAATTAGTAATCCATTCATGTTATAAAAATAATAAAATTGAACAATAGCAATAAGTCGTAACAAATACTGACTAAGTAATCAATAAAGATAGAGCTCAACCGCAGTCCTGTTATTGATCCATTTCAATCTTCACCCACGAGACCACGGCGTAACTTGCAAATACTTTTCATTATACTTACCGATTACGAAAAATTAAAGAAGGCATACTACTCGTAGATGAATCGATACTTTTGAATCTTTGTTCCTGTATCATGTAACTGGATGCCGGCAAGGCATGTAACGTCATAACTTCACTTTGTCTTTACACTTCACTTAAAGAATAACTTCCACTTACGGAATTTCGTTTAGTTTTTTCACTTTGTTGCACATTAATAAAATTTTCACTGTTTTGATATCTTCTAGAATGGTAAAGGGTCTTGTAATACGACATTCAGGCTTGAAAGTACACTCACGATTAATAGTGCCGCAGTCAGATACTATATAATGAAATGTAAAGTGTATATATAAACTCACCCTCTATTTTTAGGGAATAGCGTTTCGTTTTTACAGGGGTTGCTTTAGTTCACTTGCTATTTTTAATGATGTCTGTTCAAATATTTTAAAATATTGTAAAATTGTATATGTAACAAAATGTTAGAGTAACGACTAAATACTTGTATAACTTTGAAATACCATTCAAAAAATATCCGTCACCAGTAATTATGAAAATTAGTTTAATTTTGACACCTAAAATTTTACTTGCTGGTGGCCTGAGGAAGAGGTATTATTGTTTTTTAAAACCGAAATCACAATTTTATACGTGTACGGTAGAGCCACCCTGAAGCTACATTATGGTTGTAGCACGGAAGGGTCGGCTCGATCGTGAAAGGAACACGCTCTCACAGAATACCAGCGTAAAATAACAGCTTGATGCTGCTGTGTTTCGCATGGTGAGTGTACAGAACCAGAGACCTGTTTTTTAGGAATTGCGGCATTCCATCTTAGTCCTCAGAGGTGACAACGCAAGTGCATTTTGATTTTTAATCGAAGTTAAATGTAGATATCTATGGACCACGGGATCCACTTGCCATCAGGTGGATTGTATGCTGGTTTGTCGCTATAATAATATTTAAAAAAAAAACATGCGTGCAGCTCACACGCGACAGAAGTGAAACCTTCAAATGAAATGAAATATAAAATACAAATACTTTATGGAAAAAAATTTAGTTAATATTATGATTTTAACTACAACTTCGTCATAAAATATAAGAAAATTTAATTACTATAAAATTAATGTATTAAATATAATTATAATATAGTATATTATAAATAAAATTAATATATGTAATTTATTTATTTTAATATATTAACGTACGTGGCAGCCACTAATTTAACGACGAGTAAATTAATTTCCCTTCGAATGTTTATACTCTTTTCGATATACCTTAGGTATATAGTACTCAATAATTACAAAAAGATTTAATATCAATTTTACCTATTACGAAGTTGAGGTTTGGCTGTTCTTCACTGCTTGTTTATCAGTGTTGCCGTTTTAGCGACTTTCCCGCTAGATCTAGCGGATTTTAACAATGTTTAGCGGATAAAAAAATCATTTGGACTTTTGAGATGGCGACTTTTTTATAAAATAATTCATTTCAAATAAGTCAATTATCATATTATATTCAATTTTGTAATCTACCGTTGGTAACACTGTATATATACTATAATTTCACGAGAATTCCCGAACATAAACTACCAATTTAATGTCGTTCATTCACTTTCATATGTTTCGAACTTAGACCATGGTCTAAGGTTTCGACATACAAAAATGCATCAGGACTAAACATATTCAAAAATTTATGTAATTTTGCAATAATAATATTATCACTACCGCACTCAAATGCAGAATTTGAACGCGTATTTGATGCACAGTATTTTTTTTTATTTTGTACATGAATAATTTTTGATTTGGTTGTCATATCATTAACCTACACTATAAATAACTGATTTATATGAAATAAAGTCCGTTCGAATCGAATTCAATGTCGAATTTATAGATTTAGATTTTCGGTATTCATTGACCATTTGGCAAGATTTTTCAGTTTCAGGTACCACGAAAATATACCTAGGGACATCTAGCGGATTTTAAGAAAAAGAAAATCCTATTTCTGGCGCATTTTTTCTGTTTGCAATTTGTAGAACGGCAACCCTGTTGTTTATTCCATAGGCACACCTTCGTACCTTGTTGAACAAAACGCGTAAGCGGCGGCGCTTAAGACTTTTTTCTCGAGAGCATTGAGCTAGCTTCATATTTCATTTTGGCCCACGTTAAATCTTATGAATTTATGTGTCTGTTTCTTTTTACTGTCACTTTTTCGTTTCATCCAGTTTCAAATCACAACGATGCTAAAGAAGTTTTCACTTAAAAAAAAACAAATGAAGTTACAGGCTACTGCAGTCCATGGACACCTGCAATCAACTTCAAGCAAACACCAAGGAGAATCACTAAGGACTGTGATAGAATACCTTAAAGCCTGTAATTATACTGGTTCATTACTCCCGTCAGACAGGAACACATCTGTGTGAGTACTTCTCCACTTTAACTGTGGATTATGAATCTAGAGAAACAAAATTCTTAGAATAGTGTAGTAATTTACGAAGATGGTGCATAGGCTGTTGAAACTCTTGGATTAAAATAATATTAATATCATGAAATGTGTAACTTTCGTAAGTACTTCTTGACCAAATCAGATAAGCCTTAGTCAACGAGCAATGTCAAAGCTGTACAGAGAATCTTTGACCGAGAGGCAGTATGGAAAGAGAAAAAGCTCCGCGGGAGGATCTACAAGAATCTACACGAGACTTTTAGACACGGTTGGCTCCCTCCACTGCCTACGTTTCGGTGACCTCTTTGGGGTAACTAAGGTTTTGTCTGTGTGAAGCAGGAACAGGATCAGGTTATTTAGACCAACTATCGAAAATACATCCTAAACCATCAACATCTGTCGAGTTAGGTGTGTCTTCTTCAGTGTTTCACTCTCTTACATTAATGTTTGTACAGACAAAGTCTAGTAGCCAGAATTCTAGACCAAGAGCTCGTTCTGAAATGTGGTTTCATGAATCGGAAGCTGCCTAATTATAACTACTTACCGGAGCCCGTGCTTGAAAATGACCCCACAAGGATTTGCTAGGACTGGGCTTTCATCAGTGACAGGACTATTGTTGCAAATAAGCTTGATGTTATGTTGATGGACCGAGCACAGTCAAAGATATATTTAATCGACATTACCATTGCGTGTGAGGTGAACCTCGTGAAATCCGAAATAGACAAACGCATTTCTTCTGCATATCAATGATATGTTGCAAACTCGTAACATTCATTGCTATGCAGATGACAGCACTGGTGATGCTCTGTACACCGGTGCCAATATTTCTCGGGAAAACGGCTCCGAGTACCGGGACAAACTTGTGTCTGAAGTTGAGTCTTTGCTGAACAGAGTCTCGCATTGGGGGCGACTAAATCTAGTCCAGTTTAACCCTCAGAAGACACAAGTTTGCGCGTTAACCGCTAAAAAGGACCCCTTTGTCGTATCTCCTCAGTTTCAAGGCACTGCCCTTGTTGCCGCAGTCAGTATCAGAATCCTCGGCATCGACATATCGAGTGACTTGCAGTTTCGTGTTCACTTGGAAGAGAAGGCCAAATTGGCCTCTAAAAAGCTTGGCGTGCTCAGCAGAGCGGGAGAGTATTTCATGCAGGCACACCGCCTGCAACTTTACGAGGCGCATGTTTGGCCGCGTATGGAATATTGTTCCCATCTCTGGACTGGAGCTCCCTAGTACCAGCTCCTTCCACTTGACCGCATCCAGCGCAGAGAGGCTCGAATCGTCGACGCCCCCAGGGATCTTTGTCGGATCCCTCCAGAAGCTCTTTCCAGGACCGAGACCTGGCATGGGTAATAGCTATTTATAGCGCCTTTGTAGCCGCTCGCTATGCCCCGTAGAGTCTGGCTATCTCCTCAGGCAGAGGTCGCCTTCTTCTTCTTCAGGCTCTAAAGCCGGTAGGAGTCCGGCATAACCTTCTCGTTGCCCCCGCAACGAATGGTATCCATGAGGATTTCCCCACGAAAAAAAGGTACCACAATGGTAGGTGGGTTACTTAGGGAATAAAAAAATTTCAAGTTGTAACAAAACCTCCTGTTTTCTTTCTTCATAAATAAGTATCTTCCAAATTGTTAGTATGTTAGGTTATATACTTATTATTTATAAGTACTAGAGCAAAAACTCAATTGCTCTCAGGCAATAGGTGGATGTAAAAATCACGCTTGATGATGATGCTCATCAAAGATAATATAGATAAAGAAACAAATACCAACGTTTTTACTTCCTATAAGCAACGCAACAATGTCTATACTATATTATATTTAGCATAGACTTAATATCAAAGACATTTGAGTGTTTATTACCTATAAAATTTAAATCTCTTTGCTTAGAATATATTGGCGTAATATTTAAAGTCCG